TGAGCTGTCAGGATTTTTGACCTCATGCTCCCTTTAGTTTCATAAAATGTAGTCTGACTACTCTGCAGAAACACCATCCAAACCTTACTACAAATGGACTTTAGTCCATGTTTGCATAGACAACTCCATTTACCATTACAGTACTGCTACAGTAATGTTGAACTCGATGCTTTTTATAGTTTTCCTCACAACTGATTGCAACTGAAAAAAACAGAAAACTAATTAAATGAAATATCTGCCAGAAGAATACATGTAGCGATCACTAGCCTCTGCATATCATAATGGTGAAACTGTATCAAAAAGAGTAAGTTTCTAAATTAAACAAAGTATCTGTATATCAAATATAAACAAGTACGTGTCAGCTAAGGGTTTTGTGTGTAGCAATATCTGTAGACATGCAATAAATCTTTCTTTTTGGTAAGTCACTGTTGTTTAGGACTCAAAAAAATGTATGTGCATATTTATATTTATTTTCCATAACAAACATGTTTATGGAGGATCATGACATCAAGTTACTGGACAAATAAGTGCCTGCATGGACTTAATATTTTGACAACAAACAAAAAAATTACATACTGGCACCATGAAACTGCAGACTTGGAAGTAGCTGGCCAAAGTTCTGCTCACACTACTTTAGCAGTCTGCACACAGCATGAACAGCAGCCCCTGAATCAAAATCAATTGTGAATACGAGTCTCATTCTCCCCCTATTTCTGCTTTGGCTTTGATTTTTTTTTTTTTTTTTCCTTTTTTTTCTTTTTTTTTTTTTTTTTTTTTTTAAATTGGCTAGTATGAATGCAGAATGGGAATTCTGCATTCAGAAGGAGGGTCAAAAAATATAGTTTTGCAAACAAAGTTGCTTATTAAGCATCAAAAAAAAAAGCTCCTGGGATGACTAAAGTCTCTTCAAAGTAAAAGCAGGATTTTTCAAGGCTGTCATGAATTGACTATTTTTCCCCCAAATCAGAAAGGCTTGCATATTTTTAGCAAATCTGGGCACATGCATATTTAACTTAACACATTAAGAGCTATTCTTTTAGCATGCTACCTGTATATAGTCCAATTTTTAGTGTTATTTACCAGCTTCACGGGTGGCAATTACTTGCCCTTCCCACTGTAAATGGTGTGTTGCACCACCCACCTGCCATGTCTTCAGTTTATGATATTTTAAGACTGGCAGGAAAATTAGTTCCACTTGCATGAGCCTTTGTTTGAAAGCAAGACCACACAACAGCTTTCTGTGGGCAGAGGGGACGGAGAGCAGAAATACTAATTGCAGGAATTCACTAACCAGATACATTCTCGATGTGACAAGCACAGGCTTTGCAAGACCTACATCACCAGTGATGGTTTTGACTATACATCCCACTGCAAAGAAAGGTTGGGGACATGCTTCTTGTTCATTTGTAAATAATTATTAGACTACAAAATAAAGTAATAAGGACACAAAGCTGGAAGCAATTTGCCTATCTCCCGGTACAGCTCTCTCTTGACAAAGCAAGGAATTGTACCCTGATCTTCCCAGTGATCCAAGCCAAATTTACAATCCATGCAACCACATCCTCTGCTTTGCCATCAAAGCCACCCTTTCTCTAACTCACCAAACTAACAGGATTACAAGAGGATAGTAAGTAAACATCAGACTTCTACAGTACAGAAAAGAGGGAAGAGAGAGGATCAATTTAATTTATAGCCTCCCTAGTTTCTCTCAAGACATCTCATGCAACCAAAAATCTCACAGTCCTACTACTGCAGCACAGGATGATTTACACAATACAAATAATTTTTTTTAACTCCATGTGCACATCAACCTAACCTCTGCCCCTGTCACATTTATGTATTTGCCCTTGATCCACACACGAGTACTCCGTGGCAGCACGTTCAATGAACTGTTCGTGCAGGTGAACATCCCTGAGGGATGCAGCTGCCCCCTCTGCTTTTCTAGCTATTTATCTCTTCATCATGGAGCTCAAAGGAATAATCCTATTGCATATTTCTTCTTCATTTATTTTACTAGGTGAGGTGTTTAAGAGGATGTGTGGTCATCTGGAGCTCATCACTGTCATATTTTCAGCCACAGCTGTAAAGGGTAAAGAAACTAGTTTAGCTCCTTGGTTTACAAAGTGCTGAGTACCTCCAATGAGGTGCCAAATGTGTGTGGTGACACTTTCAGATTGCTGAGTGCCTCCTGAGGTTCGCAGAGCCTGATCCAAAACCCCACTGCAGGAATGACAGCCCTTCCCTTAGCTGCAATGTGCCTGCGACAGAACAGAGCTTCAAGACTCAAGCCTGTGCTTCCAAGACAAGGAAAAACTTGCCACAGATTTAAGAACACAGAATAAGGTGGCAAGTTTGAGAAGCATTGGATCATAGCATTCCTACCTCCAAACAACTCAGAGTAATATAAATAAATACATACATATCTACTTAAAGAAATAGACTTTCAAGACTACTTTAAACATGTTTGGGATCAGGTGCTTATTTTCAATTCTTTCAATATAACATACAGATATGCAGCAAAATTCTCTCCAATTCTCTGGAGGCCATCCTGTTTCCTGTGAGCTTAATGTATTTCTTCCACTCCTTAAAAAAAAATTCTATGAACTGTCTTTACAAATCATTTTTCTCTGGAAGCCTTTGTTAAAATCAGCTCTTCTTTGGGAAGCATGCAATAAAACAAAGCTAACTAACAAAAAAAAAAAGCTGAAAAAAATGCTGACAGTCATATTGTAAAACATCCAGTGCAAAGACTGGCTGCTTTCATTTGGGTTAAGGCAGCAAAGTCTTTCATTAACAGGTCACTTGTTCAAATACTGTCTTGCTTGACAGTAATCAGCTGATGGCAGGCAGAGTGAGCATCATACTTTGTAAGGAACTTTGCAAAAGTATTTTTTATTGAATGTATAATAACATACAGAACATCTGAAGGCATTCATGATGAGTGTGTCCTTCTGCAATACTGAATTAGTAGATAGCAACTAACCAAAGAAAAAAACCAGCTAAGTTGCAGCAAAGACTGTAACCACTTTCATTTCTTCTGACAGTTGCCATTTATCTTTGCTTTTGAAGAGACTATGTGGTAGTATTCTAGTAAGGGAGCTGTAGCCTACTGTGAAAAAATAATAACATTTTAGCAATACAAGCCCTCACTGCAGCATCTGTTATTAAATCTTTGCAGAGAGGCGAGGCGAGACTGCTAGTCATAACTGTGGATTAGCAAGGTTCTACTATTTTCATTTTAGAGTGCAGAATGCTTTGCATGAAAGCTGTTACTTGCCTTCTATGTCAAAAAATGAACTTATGCCAACTTTTTAATACTGAATTCTTCAAGGAAGCTGTCCTAACTGCCTGCAAGCACTGTCCACAGAAAACGGCAGCCGTCTAATAGCAGAGAAATGGAGGAAGGACAGAATCAGAACAGCTGATGCTGCTGATTTGCAACACTTTCTTTTCAAGAAAATGACCATCATCTTACAATTCCTTCCTTGAGCAAATCAAAAACTGCCTTTGAAAGTGTCAAGCTTTATGCTGACTTCGACTCTGACACCCGATTATACAAGAGCATTAACATAAGCGCTCAGCATGCTCCAGGGAATCACTGCATCCTCATCAGTGGAGCCTTAGCAGCTCCACATCCTGGCTGGCTCCCTAGCAAAACAGGCAAAAACCCAGGACTTCAGGTCCTAGAGAAAGGATGATAATTCACATACTTATGGGAAGTATAACACACACACTCTGAACTAAGCCAAGTTTAAGTAAACTTTATACTAAATTCATAAAGTTCAAGCAGAGTCAGAGCTTCGCTGAATGTAGTTAAAATGCCCAGGAGTTTTCCAGAAACACAAAAATCCTCCAGGAGAAAGTTCATCTTAAGCCTTCTTAACAACATTTTCCAGACTATAAAGCTGCACAGACAGTGCAAGGTGCTATGTAATATTTACCCATGACGCCCACTGTTATGATACAATGTTTCAGTGAAGAACAAATTAGAAGCAGCAAAACCCTGAAACCACCGGTGTGAATACACAACCATTAATGCATTAATACATAAAGAAATGAAGACTAGCTGAAACTGAAAATTAGTTTAAAAAATATTAGTGGCACCCACGGTAAGAGTTGCTGTCTAAACCAGATTAACAATAAAGGCAAGGCACATTGCTTTAACTGTGAAAAGTTGTGATACTCTAATGCAGTATCACTGGTCCCAGCGCAAGGTTTTTATGCACCGATGTGGCTGTAAGAGCCCCCTCGGAGAGCTGCTGCTGTTCCGGACCTTTGCGGGACATCCCTGCGCACCTGCGGCGCCCGGCGGGGCCGTCCCGCTCTCTCACTCCTGCTGCTCACATCACCTCAAGCCCAGAGCTACGTTTTATTTCATTTTCGGTTTGTTTCGGGTTTTTCTTTCCCCGGCGCTTGAGAAGGCAGAGCGCGGCGCGGGGGAGATTACACGGGGATGACTGAATCGCGGTGAATCGATTAAGCCTCGACAATTTAATCTGGGACTTCATGCGGGGCTGGAGGAGATAATCCCCGCACCGCCGTTCGTCCGTGCCTCTCCTTTACCCGGATACCCTGGCACAGAGCCGGGGGCAGCCGACCGCACACGGGGACACCGCGTCGCCGGTCCGGAGCTAAGCCGCCCTCCTCCTCCTCCTCCTCCTCCTGCTCCTCCTCGCAGCGCGGCGCACACCGCGCACCCGGCGCTCCTGCAAGATGCGCGCTCGCAAACTTTCCAAACTTCTGGGGAAGTGGCGAGGGGTATACGGGGTCGGCCCGACCGCGGCGGCGCTTCGCCTCCCGGCGGCACCTCACCGTCCGCAGCACCCCGAGCGCTGCCCGCGGGGACTCCCCGCCCCGGGCCGGCCAGCGGGACGCGGGAGCAGCGCGCTCCGGCCGCACCGAGGCCGGCGGAGCGCAGGTCGCTCCCCGCAAGTTGGAAGAGCAAAGCAACGGCAAGGGCAGGGACCCCAAAGCCCGCCCGCACTGCCCCTCGTACTCACGCTGCTGTTCTCGCCCGTCCAGTGCACCATCGCCTGGTTGTGAGACGCGTCCCCTTTCAGCACGAAGGAGGTGCTGATGAGGGAGACCTGCTCCCGGCCGGCCGCCAAGGATGCTCTCCTGGAGCGGCTGCTCCCCGCCGCCGCCCCGCTGCCGCTCCGCGGCTCGGGCGGGCTGCGCGCCCCGCGGGTCAGGGCTACGGGGCAGCCGGGGCGGCGCCGCCATCTGCTGGCCCGCGCCGAAACGCCGGGCGGGCTCCGCCGCTCACGGACACGGCATTCGCGCCCCGCGGGAGCCGCGGCGGGGACCGGTCTCTCGGCGGCGGCGGAGCCCCACCGCTTGTGAACTTTCCCGCAAAGCTCCAGGGAGAGCCTTTCCGAGAGCGCCGCAGCAACATTCACGCAGACGCTCGGCGCGGGTGCGGGGGGCGAGCACCCACCGCTGCCTCTTTGGACACGAGGGATGGATGGCCTTGGTTTGGCCGTCCATCCCTGGAGGCTGCAGTGAAACGGTCAGAAGGGGTCTGTGGTCAGAAGCTGAGAGCTGAGGAGCAAATGAAGCCAGTGCAAAAATACAATTCCTGTCATTAAGACAAGCGCTTCCATGGGGAAAAGGATCCTGTCCATTCCTCTGCCCCTCAGCTCCTAGGAGACACCAGGCTTGTCACCTGCACTGTCCAGAGCCAACTGCTAATCTGTTGCTGCCCACTGTGGGGACATGTGCCTTGTAATTTGGGATTGCACCATGGCAGCCCCAAGAAATGCTCTCCATGGGCACAGCCAGGAGGGACTATGACCAGACCTGTGCAGGGTGGCATCACTCAGCTGACAGGTGAAGTGGTGGAAGAAGATTCAGCCACCACAGTTTGGGTGCTCTTGTTGCTTCACTGCAGTGTGCTGTGAATAAACTGGAACTCATGAAGCAGTTTGCCTCACATGCTGTGAAGAGGGCATCAGGTAGAAACCCAGAATAAGTGAGGTTGGCAGGGACCTCTGGAAAAGTCCTGCTGCAACCTGCTGCTCAGTCCAGGGCCAACTCTGAAGCCCAATCTAATTTCACAGTAAGATAAGGGTACTCAGGCCTAAATGTAAGAAAACAAGTTTGAAAGACCATTGACAAAAGTAGTGACTCCAGGTACAGGCACCCAACAAAGGAGATCTGGGCTGGTTAAACCCAAGGTGAGTAAAGTTAATAAACCAGCTTTAGCTGTAATCTGCCTTTACCCTAATGGCCTAGAAAATTAGGATTACAAAGGCTTTTCTAGGAAGATTAATAGAAAAAATAGTATCCACTGGTTTAACTGTACCATTTACAGGACTGTGATGACTACCACAGTGACCTAAAGTGACCTGGTTATACCAAATTCATGTAAAAACTACTTTCAGCAAGCTATATGACTATGTATTAGCTGCACACCTTCAGTGCTAGGAAACCTATGGTAACCTGCCCTATTATATCTGTAATAGCTCGAACCAGAAGGCAGTTTCAAATTCAGGATGACTCTCCATTTCAAAAGAAATGCAGAATAAAAATTAAAATACTATTTCTTAAAAATCACATGTGCTTTTTCTGCAGCTCCCAATAAAATCCTCTTTCAGAGTTCCAAGCACAGCCCCACAATCTCAAAACAATCTCTGTGTAGCCTTCCCCCTTGTTCCTCTAGCACAGTGTCTGAACCAAAAGAAGATATTGCCCCTTATCTAGGAGTCTCCAGGTGCCAGTTATGGAGATTCTGTTCAAACACCCTGTCAACAGGAGCCCAGGCAGTGACAGAAACTCAGGTAGGAAGCACCACATGACCCAGGTCACCAGTAGCTGCCTCTGGTACTCCTGAAGGGGCCATGGATTAAATTCATTTCTGAAGTAGATGTTGTGTAAAGAGAAAGTTAATTTTTTGTCTCAGATCTTGATTCTGGAGACAATATCAAAAGCTCAGAAGGTCTAGGAGAAACTATAGGGAGCTAAGGAAGGTGAAACAGGAGTGTGAGACAAGACTGACTTTGCATCCATTTAGTTTTCTCACAGTATCTCATCCCTCTGAAACACTACCCTTGTAAAGCAAAAACCACCTGGGTTTAAGTGAGCAGAAATTTAATTTTCTAGACAAAACCCTCTGGACTCTTGTAAACTGGTCTCAACGACAGCAGTGGTCCAACACTTATTTGAATCACTGCTGTTTGGGCACATTCTTTAGGGACACAGAAGTTGGGCAGTGATTCAACAGTTCACAGAAGACACACCAGCAGAAAGTGATTCCTGTTGGAATAACAGCTCCATACTGAGTGAGTCACCTTCCATCTTTTGCACCTCTGCACAAAGTGGAACAAGAGAAAAAATGCAATGCAGAATTATTAAGAAAACATTGACCAACCACAACTGTATCAACCAACATGAAGGGGTCATTTCCCCATTATTAGGAATACAATAATTTTGATTCTTATATCATGTCCTGTCTCCTGTGTAACTGTGGATATTACCCATAGTTTGTAGAATAAGTTAAAAGTATCCAGAAAAGCTGGAAGGGCCCAAGTCCCTACATGTTAAAACTGGCATGCAAAACCTAATACTTCATCTGAATAAATGTGTCTGGACTTTGTCATACTCTTCCATTTTGCATTCATCCCTGTGTTTGACAGGTTGGGCTCCCAGGAGCAGCAGCAAAGAGATGGCAACATCCAATTCCTAAAAGTCAAGCTCTCTGTATCTGTCAGTTACTGGCACTTCCCATAATGAGACTTAAAAAGGAAAAGAAAACCAAGCAGTTGTTGCAGAATTAATGAAGCCTGGTTTCCTCCAGCCTTGCACCTTATGGTCCTCTGCAAGGTCTGCTCGAGTCTTTCCCCACTGTCAGAATATCTTTTCCATGATTTTCACAGGAAGTTAGCGAACCCACTAATAAAGTTCTCCTTGTCTGCCCAATCACAAAACTTGCCATTTATTTTTGTGATCACCCCCATTTTGCCAATTTAATTGAAATTGTCTTAAGGGCTCAGAAGACTCTCACCAAGGTGGATGGACAAATCCACAGCCCAATCACTCACTGACAAGGACTAATCAAATCTTTTATTCTTAGGCAAGTTAATTAAATATTTTACCTAAAGAATGCTAAAGCTGAGAGAAATGGATGTAATTCTTATGTATGAATTGTGAAACTTGAATACATGGGGATGAATCATTCAACCTGCAACTATACTTGTCACTAATTGAATTCCTTAGTATCAGGCTTTTAAGAGGTCAAGGATTTAATGGAACCAAAAGTAACTTCTCCATTTTCCTTTCTTTAGAGATTATCATAACCAAGACAGATGTGTGGGCAACACTATGAAAATCTTTGCTCCATCTCTTGTCTCTGCCACTTAGTGAAAGACTTTTGCCTGGCTTCTTCAATGGCTGTTGAAGCTGGGTTTATGTCAACCAGATTAATGCGTACTTACTGAATACTGAAATTTAATAAATACTTCATATTTAATATATCAGTAATTCATGATAATAAAATGTATCTCTAAATGAGGGATGGTGTAGAAACAATACCTATATGGCATTATTTCACTGTGGTACACACTTAATGACAGTAGAGTTTCAAAATATGAGTATAGAGCAGATTGGATAAAAATACTAAGGTCTGCAAAACTGGAAAAGAAGCTTCATTATATAACTCCCATTAATGCATTCAAAGTCCTGTAGCTAAGTCACCTAAGAGATAAAATTATGTCTTTGTTTTGTCCAAAGTCAGGTGACTGCATCACAGGTCAGAGCCTTAGGTAGGTACTATTCAAAAAGAGAAACAAAGGTTGATCCAGCTTCCATCCACAATGTTTGTTATGCAAAGAACAATCAAAACAACACACTTCTAGTCCAAAGCATGACCAGAATATTTAATTACTTCTTATTCTGTTGTGACTATTCTAGATGAAATGCAAACACAAGAGAAGTGCTACTGATTTTTATGGGTTTGTTAGCATCAAGGTTGCTAATAAAGGAAAGAAGCTAATGGACAGAGTAACAAATATAATTTTGTCTAGAAAGCCCAAGCAAGCTAAGCAATGTAAAAGACCAAATCTGATAAGAGAGGAGCTCTTCCAGTTTCAAATCTTGTTTAACTAGAACTACTTAAGAGTTGCCAAAAGGATGGTTTAGATTTAGTTTAAGGATTCTTAAAACAAAGAGGCTTCCCCAAATGTCTGTAATCTTTTATGTCTCTTATAAACTCTGGCTCAGCAAATACACAGGAGCAGACAAAAAGATAAATTACTGAGTATCACAAACCTCTAAGCTCCTCTAGTCCCAAATTAGAAATAGCTCAAAAATCCAAGGCAAGTTTCTTCCTGTTAATGGTAGAATTATTAGTGCTATACTAATAACATTTACTTACATTTTTACTGACTGTCAGAACAGATTAAAAGGCTTCAATTAACACACTTTATTTTTACCACATCAATTTCTGATCAAATACTGGAAATATTACAGAAAGCTTCAAATTCTGCTCAGACAGAAACCAAGATGCAATGCTAATACTCCTTTTGCTTGCAAATAAAAATATTGATAACAATTTGTTACATGTTTCACCCTCACAGCTGCCTTAGCTTGATAAATCAAGATGAATGCAGATGCACAATATGGTGGAAAATCACACAATTACCCATTTAAGCATGCTCCTCGTATATTGTTCACCTCTTTTAAAAGTTTATTTAAATTGATGTATCAAGGTGCATTTAGGATACCTTATTCTATTCATTAGATATAAAACAATTTCCAGTTACATTGTGTTTATGTTGACCACATCACTAAAAGCACAGGGACCTGCAGGTTTTTTGACAAAATGCTCATGCATGAAAGCAACTTAATCTCACACGTTTATCAAAATGCCCAGCTCCAAAATACCTTATCATTCACTCTGACCATATAGTTAGATAACAACTTAATAAACAGCAAAGCTTTACTTCCTTGTTACTCAATTAGCAAAACCCAAATGCTTTCTTCTTTGTTAAATGAAAATTATTATACATAATGCCATACTCTTCTGCCAAACAGCAGAGCTCTTATTTAGCTATGCCTCTGAGCTTCCAAAATAATTTTTATTTGTATACTGCAACTACCAAAAAAAAATCATTCTATAGTCAACAAATCTAGGTGTCTTAACACTTTTCTCAGTAGTCGCTCCATTTGAGAGAATAAAAAACAAAGCAGGTGTCAGGTTGTTTTATTCTCATTAATTCATTGATACATTGCTGTCAGCAGCCAGTCCAGATGCCCACAGAAGAAAGCCTAATTAATAGGTAGCATTCCTTGTCACAAAGAAAAAAACAACTCTACTTCTGTGGGAAGTTGTGAAGTAAAAAAAAGTGAGTAACTGCCTTTGTTCTATGAAGAACTGACTAAGCTACAAAGTACGTGTTCAATTATCCTGTTCAAATTTGAACAATGTAAAAGAGTGGATTTCAGTATAGTGTATTATCTCTGATTATTACAGAGAGCTCTCTCCAGGTATGGGTATCCTA